TTGACCTAGCTGTGTTCGGTTGGTAATTTCATTGGATATTACCGTATTACTATAAGGACGATTTCGCTTTAAAGTATACTTTTTAGGCTTTCTAACGAAAGATCACAGGCTCAAAACGTTAACCTAAAGGCTCCATTCCGATTATTTTTCAATAGAACATTGAATTTGAAATGTTACAATCACTCCTCTACTTTAACTTGACTTTAAACTAACACAAGTATTTTTCTCAATAGTACCCAGGTGCTCTACCTTATGCCAATGGAAAAATCTACGGTTCTAGTTTACAACCCAACAAACGGCACGTCATTTTGAGTTTTGTAAATGGAGTTCTAGTCATTTTCGTGTAAGGTGTCCATGCTGCCTGAACTACACGAATTTCATTTTCAGCTTCTCTATAAGTATATAATTCCATCCAAACCCACCCAAATTTACTCTAAAGTTTTTACCCATAAATTTCAGAATATATATAACATCAAAGTATTTGTTAAGAACAATTAGAATGGACAAAATCCGTTAAATTATCCATACCTGCTTCAGAACATCAAAACTCATACATAAATTGATGTCTAGTTGCAACACTACCCCAAAACCCTTGACTACGTTATCATCAATATTGTTCACGGTAGCTTGTTACCTTACAACACAAATATATTAAGGTATACCCACAACTTAAAGTCAAGTTCAATTATGACTCGGCAAGAACAAAAATTTCTTACCTAATATAAGGAACTTTGATCTCTAGTTCAATCCCAACTATGATTCTTGAAGATTTCCACAACACCAAAGCCAAGTGATTATAATTCAAAGTGGAAAGATGAATTAAGAGGAAAAAAGACATCTTCTTTTATAACAGTGAATAAAACGGGGGAGATATTAGTGGCAAGAAGGTGAAGTAGCTCACTAGGTGTCAACAAAAGTTTGAATAAGAATATTCTATTACCTTAGCAAATGCCACCAAGCTTCCTAAAAGTGAAGGCTGTCACTTAACCCAATTGTCACGAGTGCTATTATTATTTTGATTTCCCACTCCATAAATTTTTAAATATCCCTCTAATGACTGTTATGGTTTCGGGTAAAATTAATAATTTAACCCCACAAAGTTTTGTTGCAAAATTACATTTGACATGCTACTAATTTTTTTTTGTCTTTCTTTTTATCATCATCAGCATTATTATTATTTAAAATGCTATGTATGCATGATGGGTCTCAGAATCACTATGTCATCCACATATACAATGAGGACTATAATCTTGTCATCAAGCTGTCTAATGTGTTATAGAAAATAAGTATATAATTTGATTATATTAAATTGTATCAAGTCTAATTTATGCAATAACAAAATTGAGCTTATATCTATATACTCTTATATGCAACTTAATCAAAATAGAAAATAAGCAAAATCAGTACACTCGCAGTGACACAAATTTGCATGAACAATAAAATAAGAAAATCAGAATATTCAATCCGAGTCTTGTGAAACACAATCTCCTTAAGACAGATTTACTTTCTCTCATGCATATAATGTTTGTCACTTTAATTTATCAAAGTGTGAGATTCATATTGAGTCAATAAGCTCGGTGAGTTGAAAGACGATGTTATTTTTATGGTGGAAATTAATTATTAAAGGAAACCACGTCCTAATATTTAAATAGGTTGATGATTTCCTTTTGAGGAAGCTCATAAGTTTTATCCATGTCAAACCCTACAAGTGAATTTAATTATCCGACATGACAAATAAGTTAAGTGGTAAGGTCTCAAGGAATAAAAGAAATCAATTAAATATAATTGTCAATAATTTATTTGATTGATGAACATCTGTAATCTTAAACGCGGGGAGATTATTAAGCTTATAATAATAAGAAGGTCGAATATAATTTTGAGATAAGGCTCAGGAGATCAATAATAAGTTTTTAGTGGACTGATTTATTATTAATGGATTGTAGGATATTTGTTATAAGTTAAACATAGGAATCCTAAGCCCATTGGAAACCTGACCTTTATTTCTCCTTAGGGTTTCTATCTTAGCCTATATATAGACGTCAAGGCTCTCTAATTAAGCATATATTCTTTACTCACGTGTTTTAGAGAGGTTGAAAGGGAGAGTAGGATTTCGGAGATTTTGGCAACTCACACTGCATCCAAATTCTGATGTTGGGGAATATACGACAGAAGGCTACGAGGTTTGTTGAGTAGTCTTCCGCATTCATTGTTAGGTTCTGTGTCTGTGCTAAGATGAGATCAATCTCGAGCGATCTCAAAGGTAAACCCTAATTCCGCCTAGTAGAGTTTTAAATGAAAATTTTTAGTATTTGATACATACGTGCTACCAATGGTTATTGAGATTTATGTTCCAACACTCGAAATCAGAGGTGGGACGCCCTCAAATGCCGTGTCAGTTTGGTACCCCGTTGGTATAATGTTCATAAATTACCTACCCAAGAAAGACAAAAGAATTTGATAAAATAGTAATTAGATGGGCAGCGTCAATGGCAAGGGCTTAAAATGCCCGATTCATGTCATGACATTGTATCACGTTTCATGCACGGGAACTTGGGAGGGGGTTCGGTATTGGACATGCATTAATGAACATTACTCATATTTGGCATGTTTGGTAGCATTCATATGTTACTTGGGATATATGCTTAGTGTGTTTTGATGCATATTCATATCATATGCCAGATATTCTCTATAAGAGATACCCTTCTAAGCTTTAGCTCATCCCATGTGGGAGCATTTTTTATATATTGGACTAGCTTCCGCTGAAAGCCCTCCTATGGGCCCGCTTTAATGACAAAGCCGAATTGTGGTTCTTGATTTGGAGTTTTGTAGTCCCTTGTATGCATCAATATTTTGGCCTTGTATAGATCTAAGTACAAAACTTGCATTTTGTTAAAGGCTTGTAATGAGACATAATATATGGATATTTATTCTTTTATGAATGGATGTTGTATGATAATGGTCGTGAATATTGGTATTCAATAATATATTGATTGAATGTTGATGTTGAGACTCGGTGTGGTTAATGATTAGGTTTGCAGAGGTTGTATATTGGGTAGAGCTTCCCGTACAAAAGAGACTCTGCCCAATTTTCGTTAAACTATACGCTGTCCACTGCAGGTTACGAGATGTAGTTTATGATGAATTTCGAGAACTTTGATAAGTTAGATAAGAGAGAAAGAAGAATTAGGATAAAAGAATAACATATATGTTACATAACTATACCTAACATATATATATAGTCACAGAGTACAAAGTACTAAACTAACCTTAGTCTAGAAATGATGCATAACTTAGCAATAACGATATCTGTAAACCAAATGACCATCAACACAATGCTCCCAAGTTTCCAAGTCATACCAATACCAATAACAATCACATTCACCATCCACAGTCCAAAAGTCGAATGTCATATACATACACATCATATAAATATTCATCATAATTTTTATTGAAATATCATAGCCATAATCCATAAAGTAATATCATATTCGACAGAAAAAACATGATTACCATTAAATGCCTAATTTATTTCTCATTCGTAATGCAACGAAAATATAAATCTTTGGTATAATCAACATAATTTTTAACATGATATCCCAAATAATATATCATGCATCACTGAAAAGGAATTATGAAAGAAATCCTTTCTCTGACAGGAAAAATACCTATCGACTAGAAAATGGTGTATGTGAACCCAGGATCTTGAAAAACCCTAGCTAGCCCTCTCGACTCTTTCTTTTATCTCTCTGAAATGAATATTTTTGAGGTGCTTGGAATGGTTGTTTAGATGCAGCAGAGGGAAGAGGAAAGGGGAATTTATACCTAGGGTATGAATAGCAAAGTTTGTGAAACAAATAATAATGCTAACCATCTTACTGAAGCTCCAAGTTGGCCGACTGGCCAACAGCTCTGTCCCAATATTCCTCAGCTTGGGTCATGGGAGTCACAAGCAAGTCAACCAACAATCCTTTCTGCCAAATTTTCTTCTAAGCCTCCCAGTTCACAAAAAAAAAAAAAAATTCTAAGCCTCAAAAGCTGGATCAACCTCCAGATCCGCCTCAATCTCATAGTCTCGTGCTCACCTAAGTCAGTATCAACCTCCATATGCAAATGTTAAGGAATGGGTGAGTAAAATTAGCTCCTCAGGAAAACTTTTCCACAGGTTAACAAGGTTTAGAAAAAAAAAATAAGGTAGGTCTCAATTTACAAAATAATTTTATAACTTTTGAAGTAAAACATGTGTTATTTAATAATGATCTCAAGTTTTGATGCATAAGTTGAAAATCCAAAATCGAGTGGAATCATTCAAAAAAAAGCAACAATTCTCATTAAGAATATCTCTTGTAAGCATGATGATTAACATGAACTCACACCAAATATAACTGTCCCTCCCACACACACACACACAAATCCTCCTATCAATCCCCGTTGGGCCGCAATGTTTTAGGAAGCATATATACTGACACATCAGTATTGAACGATTGTTTCTTAGGAATGGAATACTAACACTCAGTCTCAATCCATGTGAACAAATAGTGAAAATTCTTGGAACATTGCAAAGAACCAAGCAATTCCACCACGAGTTATAGGGAGCCTTCAAACCCCTTGAGATAAGAAACTCATCTAAGCACCATGCAATATAAGTTTGAGCGGATCATCACACCCACCCACACAAGAGATAATATCCATACTTTCAAAAAAATTCACACATACAACAAATAATAGTTCCATAATTTCTCAAAAGAGAAGAAACTCCAAGAAAGCATGTAAGAGAGTACCAAGAAACATTATCTATTTAACCGTATTCAAGATCTAGGGTGAATAAAAAATTTACAATGTGATGTAAATCATATATTTTTTTTCAAGAAAATGACTCATATAATTAAAAAAACTCAAAACAATTGCAGATGTATGATATATATATATAATATTAAGAGTCGAATCATTTGCACTTTTGATGAATGTAGCAACAACATATCTTATTGTTTATTCAAGATAAAGGCCAACAATTGTATACAAGCAGCATCACAGTACACTTATTTCCCTACATGTCAGATTTGTTTTGTCGAAAACTAATGTAAATAATCAACAGAAACCTAAACAAGGTTCCTACTTGGTATTATTCTTTATTTCTATTAAAGCTCTCAGGCCTCGGCAGAAAAAAAAAGGTACAAGGAAAAAGAAAAACGTACTAAGAAATTTTGGATCCTAACATCTCAGATTATCCCCGGGAGAAACACCAAGTTGGCTACAATAGTCTGTGTAATATGCAACACGGGCATTTACAGTATCAGGATTTGCACCATCACATTCAAGTCGGCCATTAATGGCACGAATGGTTTCTCCAAACCCTTGGCCAGAAGTTATGATGGTGTGAACTCTATTCATCCAAAACCACAAGGCGGCCTTGAAGGACACAAGGCTGTCTGTGGCGACGATCTCAGGATTGTTTAGTCCATCGAACCCTATGCTCCTTCCGGCTGGCCCATAGTTGTAATTCCATGATAGTTGAAGTGGACCTCGTCCATAGTAACCCTTGTTAGGTGCACAGGGATACTGTGTATTAGACTCGTCGCAATAGTCCTTAGAAGGACCATCTATCTCCTCTATATAGCAAAAGTCTGCAGAAAAAGAGTGGCTTATTACAGTTTTGCCTTATTTAATTTCACCGTAGAAAAGTTCTATTAACAATAAAGGCTATGGTGCATGAGTATGCACATACATAGTGCAAGGAGATGGCAAAAACAATGCACACGGAAACCTACATTTTCTTCGTGTAGTGGACATTACATGCATGGAAGCATTCATGACAACAAAAAATATTTGTGCACGAGTTCATCGACTCTTGAAAATGGAAAGATTTTCTACTACCCACTACAAGCGGAAGCTTTTTGTAATGGGTACGATCTATTCAAGAACAAACTTGCATAGATGTAAAAAAAATTATTTTGGTTCCTCTCAATTTCATTTTTCACCCTTTTCAGTCTAGATCACTTATAACCGTTGAATTCATTGGGTCCTACTAGCGTCAGTGGGATGGGTCCATAGTTACAAACCCAGGACTAAAATCCAATATGCGAGAAATTTGAAATTGAAAGGATGAATATGAGAAATAATGTGTGGGTGGGCCGTGGGTGTGTGTAAATGTGCTGGTGAGTGTAAATGTGCAGCAAGCAATATGTTGGACAGACAATATGTTAGAGATATTAAAATCTTACGTCCAGTCTCATGAGTGGCATGAGCAAAGAAAGCTGCGATCTCACGCTTAGAATCATCAATGGAACCAACCCTGCCAAATTGTGAATATGAATTCAGGGCTTCCAGAAATACCGCTCGTGTGTAGAAGCCTTTCCCGGCACAACCGGAGCCAGCTTGATTAGCAATCCCATTAAAGAAAGCATCTGTCACGATATCAGCAACTGAAACATCATTAGTACTGGGTGGTGCAAAACAAGGGCCCTCCTGGCACCCTGCGCCACAATAGTCATTTCCAGTGCCACAATAACCATATTGGCTACAGCACAGGTCTGCAGCACAACCGCAGTTCTGACCCACAGCCAATAGCGGCAGTGCCCCCGCGAGAAGGCCGGCGAGAAAAAGTGTTAGAAAATTCTTTCTTATACTAGAGGCCATGGTTGTCTTAGTGCAAGGTGTAGAAAACAGAGTTTTTTGTGCTTTGAAAACATGGTCCAGAGGAGTTATATATATAAATGCAAAGGATACCGGCAGTGTGGAGTTCAATGTTGCACAATCAATTTTCCACGGAAAGCGTGTAGGTGGATTTGGTTGTGAATTGACTTTGTCTGGCCAATAAACTAAAATAGGTTAATTTTTCCTTCCTGAACAGGCTGTTAAAGGAAAAGAAATAAAAATAAAGGACGAGTATGTTTCTAGTCCACTTAAAATAAGCAGCCGAGTGGACCACCATTAATTCGGTGGGACATCGGAGGTTTAGGATGTAGTTATTATCATTTATTCGGGCCAACTTAAAGATGCGACAAATATTATAGGGATTTTATTTAAGAACTTAATATTTTCATGATAAATAAGGTTCATTAGTATATAAATCTTTGTATAATTAGAACACTTTGTACTTGAATTGCTAGCATATCTAGATTGAGTGAACTTTTAGGTATTAGACCTGGGTTGGTTTGTGTTATGACATGGAACACAATTAGTTAAATTGGTCAGATTATAATTGGCTAGTTTTTTATATAAACCATAAATAGTATGACCTTACATGTACAGATCTTACTTTCTCAATAATATCACGACGAGTTTCACATTCATATCTATATTTGTAAGCAAAAGTTAGTAAACTTGTGAATTCAAGGACCTTTTTTTTATTTTTTGGATTTTTGTATGCAAATACTTAAGACATGGTAATACCACGAAACATTAATAGTTGATGCCCGCTGAAAAGGACCAGTTTATCATCTAGTCAACTCGGGATTGAGTTGAGCAAAAGAGGATTGACCCAGTAATAGATATCTTTCTCACTTTGTGATTCACTTATATATAAGGTTGAGTCTCACGACTCTTTCTCGGATTCTTATTGCCAAAAACTTGGTACCGAGTTTAGTTAAAAAAAAAAAAATACTTGGAATTTTGTTTTAATCTCTTTAATATATTAATTTTTTTATTTTTCAAAAACATGATGGAATTGAAACCTTGACATCCAGCTTATTCGAGTTCTGGAAGGTATTAAAAGTAATTCCCATCATTAGAATGACTGGGATGCTTCGCAGCCTGTCACTGTGCCCTGAGAAGACCGTTTGCATTGTTAATTAGAAGCCCAAAGAAGACTATATAATCTCTAGATTGGGAGACCAACCATTGATAAAGAACCGTAGAACAAGCATGCAGGAAGAAGAGTTTCGAGTGGACCTTGTTATCATATCCTGTGTAGTAGTCCGGATGCACTAAATATATTTTCAAAGAGTGGACCCTGTAAACAAATTTAGTCAAGTCATTCATCCTATCCCTTCATCTAGAACTTATGTGTCATCTTTAAAACTCAACGCGAATATGTCAACGATGACTTGGGTTGAGTTGGTCATAACTCAGAATAATGAGAATTTTTTTCTTTTTTTTTTTAAGTGAGAGAGGAGGGGAGATGTCTGTATGTATTATATAGCTTCAGTAAATGGGATATTTTATGACTCAGATAAAGTCATTCTAAAATAGATTTGAACATTCCTGATTTTTAAAAGTGATGATGAAAATATGTCAACAATGATGTGGATTGAATTTGGGCATGACTCAAATAATAGAATTTATTTGTATGCATAATGTGAGATGAGAGGAAATTTGTGTATGAATTTTATACAAGATATTACTAGTGGTATTTTACCACTCAGACAGGGTCCTAGTTTCAAAAATGCTTTGACTACTTTTGATATTAAATATTATCATTTTGAATCAAGTTGAATCATCAACCGCCATTTATATTAGGCCCCTATTGGATGCTATTGGAATCAATATAACTCAATAGTGTGGCCTAGTGAATTTGTTGATGGATTACTACTATTGAATAGAATTAACAAAAATTCAAAATTATGAAGGTCCGTGCACGGGTGAATTCCCGCAATAATTTGAGATAAATATACCACGGTAGAGGTTGTACGGTTTTGCTCCTGCAACAGAGAACAAGGTCAGAATGGGACCGGAGACTATACGGCTTATCCCCTCCGATGCCTAAGTCAATAGAAGATCAAGGGGAGAATAAGACTTTTATTGTACTAGGTTGCTCACAAATGTGTACTTGTGACTCAACTCATTGGGATATTTTACTTTCTAATATAATGACATGGCACTATAAGGATCTCATCAAGCCAGCTGAGAAGGCCTTCACGTGGGTAATTATTAGTGAGCTATATTTCTCTCAAGCCATGCCATTACTAGGCCTTGGGAGTTTGGCATCTCCTCGAGATTTGGTCCTGCGATGATTAGTCGTTCGGGACACTGAGTGCTCAATGCATCTCCCTTCAACATTTAATGATCTCAACAATACATTTTTTGAGTTGTGTTGAGCACTCATTGCATTAAAACTATACATTACGTATGCGTGCCCCTCAGAAATCCATGTTAGTCAAGGCCAGGCCTTTATCTGGATTTTCTGAAATTTGTTGTACATTATGATGTGACGTATTGGCGGAATCAATCATTCTCTACAACCAATTGCATCATGGTGGGCCCACCTAGTGTTAAATGCTCGGCCCTGGGGTGCACGTTTTGACTTTTGCATGTTTGGGCACGTCCCTCCTAGCTCTATCCTCCGGATCGTTCAATTCCCTTAGTGTATTTGTTTCCACATGTCATGCTTTGATACGAGAGTCATTTCGCATCCCATTAACTGCCCCTAGCTTCCAATTTTGCACGCATGGGCCATGTGGCCTAGGGAGATCGGAGGCTAACTTGTGCACATCGCTTCTTGTCGACTGTTACACGCACGTTTGCTGTTGATCTTTGAAAATGGCTGTTAATGTGTTGTAGCTCTCGGTAATCGATGTTATGGTTGGCCTATTTGAATCGTCAAAGCTCAACAGCATCTTAGCAAGACCAACCACTCCCTTTCCTTTGAAGATATCCTAAGCATCTCCTTCAATAAGTATACTCAGTTCCATTTCATTCTCCACTTTCCTTTTCTCTTTAGTGTTCCTTTTATCCTCTGTAAATGGCGAGGGCCTTGTGATGAAATGTGACAGGAAACAAAAGTAAACCTAGCACCTCAGAAGGTAAATCTAGGACAAGTCAAGTAAACATACCTTAGCGGATTTCCAATTTTAGGGCCAAATTCTACTTCCCAGACTTTGTACAGATAATAGTGTTTAAGGTCAACCAACGTAGTGCCACCATAGGTTCCCCTAATTTGATGCCTTTCCACACCAAAATGACCATGGAGGAAGGTATTAGGTTTTTCTTTACCTCCTCTTCTGCTCAAGTTCTTGATGCATTTCTAGCTCTTCCCTGGACAATGGTGTGTCAACTTTTTCAGGATAGTGATGGTGGTCATAGCTTTGAACACTCTACTCGGCATCAAGCTAAGGGTGGATGAGATCCTTTTCTGCTACAAAATTATATGGACTGATGAGAGCATAATATTGCATATTATACGCCTCATAATCATTCATATTAGTCATGCTAATCACTTAATTCCCTTGTTTTAGTTGAGTTTTGTATTTTATAGTGAATTTGTTTATTTGAAGTTGAATTGGTGTAAGGACATGTAATTGCATGTGTTTAAATGTCATAGAGGACTTGGAAGATGTGCTAAGAGGTCTAGGAGTGAAGCCAGAGCCACAACAACCAAAATTGAGAAAACACCCTCTCTATCAGTATAACAAAGGCTAAAAGTTGGTTCTATCGGTAGGTTAACACTTCTTACTGGTTGGTTGAAGATAGACTAGTGGAAATGATAAAAACTAGAAAAAATTAAAAGAAATATTTACATTTTTACAATAGGTGGTTCAAACCATTGATCTTCATCCCCTAGAAACTTGTTCTTATATCAACTTATCATGTCAAAAAAAAAAAAAAAAAATCTGATTCTTGTCTTATCTCCATTTTGTTTGAAGAATTAGTGACCCTACCAAATTTTTGTTGCCCATAATGTGTAAGAACATGACTTATATAGTGTGGCATGTCAGGAATATCCTTACTTTGCCCATATATTATCCAGCCTAAACGATTGAGTGCGCAATCAGGAATTAGTTCAGAACACTAATTATATTTCCTCATGTGAAAGGGTCTAGCACATCGATTCCACCAGTAGGAGAGCAAGACAACCAGTAGGAGGAAAACAATGAACAGTCCTGTTACTATAATTTTGGTAATTAAGGCTCCTAAGGAAGGCAATCGACTGGCATATTTCAAGGGTTGTGATTGGTGGACCAATGGGAGAAAAATCAGCAGGAAGTCCCTTATAAATACCAAAGTCTAGCAAGAGAGAGAGAGTGTGTGCTCCACTCCATCATTTTTTTTCTTTTTTTTACCTAGGGTTTTAGATTTTCTTCTTCTTCTTCTTTTAAGTTTTCTCTATTGTTTTAATTTACAAGCTTTGTTTCAATGCTTACAGGCAACTACTTTTGGTTCCTTTCTGCAAAAAATTTACATTCATTGCAATTTTAATATAAGGTATTTATTTTTCTTATAATTTCAATTCTTGAAATTTAAATTCTTCTCTTTTTTGCTTTCATTTACAATGATGCTTTCTTTATTGCTTTCAATTTCAATTCAGTCATGCATGAGTAATCGTTCACCAGTTTGATCGGTGAAGTAGTATCATCCGTAAATTGGGGGTTCTGACTCAAAACTAGGGCTTGTCTATTGTCAATTTATTTGAGTTAATTGAATTGTTTAAATTAAAGATGTTCTCTAATTGTATATCTTCTTACTTACTCGTCGACAACTAAAAATTGACATAGGTAATTCTCATAATCATTGCAATCAAAGTGACTTCCATTTAACCAATTCAATTGTCTCAAATACATATTTGTTATTTATGAATTGGGTGTTAAACGAATATCTGCCGTTTGAATGCGTTTGACCATAAGCTCGAGTGAGTTATAGAGTTTGAGTCAAAATATTTATTCATAGTGAGGTGATATTTACAAATCAACTGGTTCTTTTTC